TGCATTTTAATCATGGTGCTAGTGAAGATTATTGAAAGTATCAGGATGGAGAAAAATACAAACAAATGTGTTTTGGAAAATGTACAGACAGAATGCTCCCTGAAAGCAAGAATGGTAAGGTTTCATGTCACAGATTTTGGACATGTTATCCTTCCTTGGGAAAAGGACATCACACTTGGTAAAGTAGAAGGTCTGTGAACAAGAAGGTGGTCCTAAATTAGACAGATTAATACAGCGGGTACAACAATGAGCTGAAACCAAACAACAGCTGAGAGGATGGTGAAGGCTGGGCAGTGCTTCATTCTGTTGTGCATCAGGTTGCTCTGAGTCAGGGCCAACTTGACAGCAGCTAACAACAGCAAACAACACTATTGCCTCAGAAATTGCTTGTTACTCCTCCTTGAAGGTTGTCTACCATGAATCATATGAAATTGATTTCTCCAGGTTTATCTTTGAACCATATGGGAGCTTTCCTTTCTATATTTTATATCTTTATATGTGTGATTTTGCAAGTCATGGACTCATCCTCTGTTACCAATTCTGTAGACAGATGTGTACTTCAGGTCATGCTCTGGTCACTAATCTCATGTCTTTTCCTTTCTCTGTTGGTGAACTCCTCCTAGGACACATCATTGTTATTAACACATAGTTTTCTCTATGCCCAGCATACATCTGTTCCCTGAACGGTAGCACAGCATTTTCAAAATTTTCAGTCTGTTACTGTCGCATGCTACAATGCAGACAGGCACTCTGCTAAGTCATTGGTTATTAACTTGTTGAACACTAACCTTTCCCTTGGAAGAGCCTCTTAATTTTTACCTTTTGTCTCTCAGGATTATTTTAAGCTTATATCCCGGACTTTGATTCCTACAGAAACCCTCTCTATTGCTTCTGTGGTATCATGTGCATGAGTGAGGTTTGATGGCTTGCTTTCTTTTCCCCAGTGTACCTTTATCAAGTTGTATGCCAACTCTCTTGGTTTTTGTTCACCTTTCTTAGCTTGTGAGCTCAGTTGGAGAATGATGTCTTTATCTTTCAAAATTCTTGGCCCTTACTTTTCATATGAATGAAACAAGCTTATATTAAGGAACCATACTGGGATCCGAATTGCAAGCATAATTAAAACCAGAAAAAGCCAAGCACAAGCCATGTAGGAAGGGAAAGTTTAAGAAATGACTCCAAAAAGGGAATTCCAGCATCACTGAGTAGCATGTTGTTATTTCTAAATTTAAATCCTCAGAAATTGACTTTCTCATAAAGGCAGATCACGTTTTTTGCAAACATCCAAGTCTCCTCAAATGTTCATTAACTGAATCTTCACAGTGTGAGTTGCCTTCCTGACCATGAGAACCCAAACTTACCTGCGCTGAACACCAGAGGAGGCCGTCTCTTTCCCTGTGGCTGTGCATGCCTGAATGGCCCTTATACCTGATAGAAGTTATCATCATAGCCGTAGGTTTCACAGGGAAATGACGAAAAGAAAGGAAGCTCCGCTGAGGTTTCCTCTCCTGAGAATAAGTAGACAATCACCCCCGCCCTCATGGGTTTAATTAGGTTCCACCTGCACTCTCCTCTTGTTAGACTTAGAGGTTCAGGTGAAGCCAGTGCTCAAAGGAGACTAGCAGATTCTGCTGAAGGTTGTTAGTCCTCTGCCACTCTTCCCATTGAACATTCTCGGATAAGTGAGGCAGCAGAGTGAGCCATCTAAGCTGAGAATGGACAGACCCCTCCTTCTTTAATTAGCACTGGAAATGAACCTTACTAAAGATGATTTCTTGATAACAAGTGGAGTATTTAGGAGAAATAAATAAGTGGAAAATAAATCCTTTGAAAATAAAAGGATGTCTTTCCTTGAATTGTGATGTTAGTGTAGGCTGTTACATATATCATGGACGCCCAGTAAAGTGAACAAGTCTGTCTTGGCAGGAGTAGAGCCAGCATGCTCCTTAGAAAGGAGGCTGGTGAGATTTCACTTATGTACTCAGAGCATGGCATTAGGTGAGATTTGTCTGTGTCTCAAGAAGGAAATCACGTTGTTTAAGGAAAGAGTCAGGGAAAAAACTAATAAGAGGAAGAGTCAGCAGTATGGATCCACACAGTGGTGGTAACATGGATTCACACCTAGCAAACATAGTGAGGGTGATGCAGGAACGCACAGTGCTTCCTTCTGCTCTCTTTATACCTGAGCAAACTTTACATGTGAAAACAAAACTTATCTTAAAAATTATTTAAAAGAAAATAGAGCTTCTGATAGGGATGTCATTGGAGAGTTTGTGTCAATATAAAGTGAAAGGACAATTCCACTGTCTCCCACCCTACAAAGGTGAGTGTGTCTCTCTACATTGAGTAATGCATGTTAAGCTGCTGGCTTTCCTATTGATCAGCTAATCTGTCAACCTTTCTTCAACAATTTATTCTTGAATTAATTACTCTGTATTCTATACATTTGATTCACTGCTCTATTGAAAACTCAATGTTCTTTTGCTTTCCAAAATAATTTGCTTAAACCAGTTTCTTTTACATGAAATATGTATGAAGCCTTACAATAGAATGATGCACACTTTCTCCCTGTTAGTTAATCTTTTTGTCAATCACTGGGGCCTATTTTCTTTGTCTAAATTTTTTTCTCCCCAAATTTAAAATTTTCAATTGGTCATATTATTTTTGCATAACATGACATGCTCACTTTTGTTAAGGTAACTCAAGAATTTCCAGCTAAAGGGAATTTTTCTTTATTTTTGTTGCTAATTTCTCTGTATCTACTTTGTTTCTCTTGTTCCAGAATTTCTAGAATTTCCTTATTTTATCTACAGAATCTATTAATATATAGTACAGTATTCTCTCCTTCTGTGATATTTTCTCTTAATAATCTGCTAAATTACTAATTTCATAGTCAACAGTATTTAACCTGTTTCTCAATATCTCCATTGCATTTTATATTCTTAATATGTTTCACTTGCTGTGAAATTTTGCTAATAAATATAACTTTTAGAAATCTCACTGAGAGTTCAAATTGTCTCTCTCACTCTGCTCCCTTACTGCCATCAATTCAGTGCCTCCTTTAAGCAAGCCTACACGACAGGGTAGACCTGCCCCTTACTTTCCATCACTCCTCTAGCTTGTTTCTCTGATTTAGTTTGAATGCCTTTGATGAATGCAGTCTGCAGGACAGAGCCACTGTGACTTGGAAAATTTCATGGGTTCATTAGCCCATTCCCTCCATCCAGAGTTTTCAGTGAACCAGGGTTTTTCATATATGTTTCTCCAAGCTTTGAATAATTTCCTACAACTTCTTTTTCTAGAATTTCATCAACGTAATTCATAGACTAGCTGTCCCTCTCTCTTTGGCCTATATCTGGGAGCTTAGTACATCCTGCAGTTAGATATTATCTATAATCATATATGAGGAAATGCTTCAACTCTTGGAATCCATTTTGCTCACCCTTT